ATTTTTTCAGATTTTACACTTTTCTCTTTTTTGTATACATAGATTTTTTCAGATTTTACACTTTTCTCTTTTTTGCATATATAGGTAGCCTGAGTTTTCAGCTATCAGAAAAATATTTAAGAGCATTGTTTTAGTAGTAGAATCGACTGCTATAAAGAATTTTGTAATACTGGTTACATGTGAGAGTATGAAATATTTTTCTGTTTTACAATTTTTCTGTGCTTGCTATGCAAACTTGAGACTGTAATTACACAAAATCAGGTTTAAGGTGTCCAGCCCATTTTCGCATATCAACACCCATTTGTATTCTATTAAATTTTCTAAATAATGCTACGATGAATATTGCCTGACCGTTATTCCAACTGCTATTAGTCATCTTTAGAAATAATGTATAGCTTCCTGTATCAGTATATGCTGATGTCTGACCATCTATGAATTCAAATAGCCATAGAGTCTTATCTATATTTACCATAGAACCTAGAATATATGCTCTAATAGCATGGCCCTCATCTCTAGCATTAAGTCTAATTTGGGAGTTGTGTCACTTAAATTCTAACCAATTCAGAATTTGATTTAAGTAGTCATTGGAAATCTTTTGTAACTTGTTTGTTATAAATGGTAGAAAAATTGATTTCCCATCAAAAAAACAACTGCCCTTGAAAACCAGCCAGCTGAAAATATAAACTCAATAGAATCTTGTACGGGATAGGCCTCCTGATAGGCCTGTTGTACCTATTGTTTGAACCGACTTTGTCATACTGCCTTTCTTTCCTCTTTCTTTTTTTATACCTTTTATAAAACTTTTCTCCTATTAATAGCTACCAACAGTACTTCACATCAACTTAGTACTTTCTTTCTTCCTTTTTACTATCTATTCTTCGTTCCTGACTTGTGAGCCAATAATACAATGTAGTAATTGGTACTCAGCTAGATAGCATTCTAACGCCTCACATAACAATGCCTGTTAAAATTCTCCTAGGTTCCTTTCACCTTGTTTTCGCTCCATTCTATACTGTATCCTCCAGCATAAAACCATGATTTTAAACTCTCTTGAATATGGGTGGTGAGTTCTGGTCCTAGGTTTTGCAAATGTGGAGTTATCGCTTTCTAAAATTGACTTTGGTCGATATCCAGGCCATGTCTTTCCTCTCTGCCATTCTGTGTACGCTCTTTCTCATTTTTATTTCTTATTAATTCACATACTTCTTATACTATTACAGCACTTTGATCTCTGCCCTGTACCAAGCTTGCTGGAACTCGTACTCATGCTTCAGCATCACTTGGATTGAGTAGGTTGTTGATATTCATGTTGGATATTTGTAGCCTGTTGACTTTACAGAAAGATGGATGACCTGATAGCTTTAAGATTGATTTTAAAATACATTACCTCATATCTCTGCTATGGTTACCGGATTCACCCTGTGGCAAGCTAGTCAAATTTCACTCTTCTCGTCAAGCGTGATTTCGGGCTAAACCAAAAAAGTGCGGTATCATCAACCAGGCATTAGAACATTGGCTAGCCACCATTGCACCATTCTCTCTCGCACTAGCGCGCTCCTGTTTTCAACCCACTTTTGACACAAAGTTACTGCCAGAGATCACGTGTGTCTACCCCGAACCCGGCGGTCCTTAGTTTCCGATCGCATTCTGAGTAACCCGGGGGGGTAAACTTGAGTTGATACTCCAACTGGGGTAATTTTATGTGCCTCTACGATACGGGAGGGGACAAATTTATTAAGGTGGTGTTCTAAAGTAAGAGGAATTCGAAGATCCGAAACAACCTCTTAAAACCACAAATTCGCTTCTACCCACAAAATGACCATCTTTGCACGCTCCCTTGTTCACTTATCCCACTGCTTAGCGACCATTCCATCTGGTTGAAATTAGCATTCGGTCCTCAACGTCCGAGAGAGAACACTACCTGGAGGGCTTGTTTCGACCTTTGCTTTTCCAACCTCCTGCCAGTTGGTGCTGAGAGCTGTGCCGTTACTCTCGACATAGCTCTTCATCATTGCGCGTCTGGTGTCCTCGTCGGCGTCCTTGTAAAGCTTTTTGAAGAAATGGTTGACTGGATCTCCACCCTCATAGTCGCTATCGTATTCCACGCCGGCGGGACCCTCCTCCTCTTTGTCACTGACAGCTCCTTTCGCTTTCCTCTCCTCTGTGGGGCGAGTGGTGAGAGCTTTGGCAACTTTATCCCAATCTTTGGGGCCTCTCTTGGATGATGTTGGATAGACAGGTAAGGTTTCCATTGGTTTGCCTGCCAACGCTGTGGGTCGCTCGCCTGCTTCTGGGACAGGCGCTTGCTCTGGTGCCTCGAGGCCACCCCATTTACGGTTTTGATTAGTTTTCGCAAGCTTAATCTCAATTTTTGTAGAAAGGACCGAAAAACTGGAAGCTACAGGATCTATCTTGTCAAAGAGAGGGCTGACATCAAACGTCCATTCGCTGCCGGTGGCCAAAGGGAAAGATACTGAGACCTTTTACCGTCAGAACGAGGTTTAATCAACAGCATGGTCCTCTCCACTTACCGACTCGTTGTTTATCTGCACTGCGACCTTATCCCTTGGCACCCCTTTGACAAAGATGGTGAGAACCACTTGAGAAGCGGTCTGGTACCATTCGTGACGAATCCTGCCTGCAGGTGTACTAACCCCTGGTGCGGGCGGCGGCTGGACGGTGACACCAGTAGCCCCACCATCCCCGGGCCGGATCGTGGGTACAGGCTCCTTTCGCTCCTCAGGTATTGGTACCTCGGAGTCAGGAACCTCCGAGACAGTAACCTCCCGAGTAGGATCATCATGGTCGAGTTTAGCGAGCTGTATCTCGATCTTGTTTTTCCAGATGCCGATAAGATTCTTTTCCTTCTCCCCTGCAGCTTTCTTCTCCGCTTCCGCAATACAGAAGGCGGCATCACCATACCTCTTCTCCATAAACAAGGAAGTCCCTCTGCGGAGTTGAGCGCTGCTGATGAGCTCTCTCTTACCACGTTTATAGCCCAGAACCACGGCTATTTCCGCATCCCTAAGAGCACTAGCGTAATCGGAAGAACGCTGATAGGCTGTGGAGCGTTTGATGTAATAATCGGGTGATTCGGGTGTTTGCTGCAGAGCTTGAGTATATAAATCAATTGCCTGAGAGTAATTCTGGGAACTCAAAGCTTTCAGGCCCTGCTCGGCGAGCGTTGCAGAGGAAGGCATGTTTGGTATAAGGTTATTCCTGCCTCGGTAGTGTTAGTCGACTGGGCGGGTTTGTGAAAACCGGAGGGGGAGGAATGATGTGTTTAGAGCCGCTATGAGTGAGTGGTGGGTTTTGCGTGGAGGTTGGAATGGGCTCGGAGTTTTCGTGGAGCTCGAGTTTTGTGGAAGTGGTTCGAAGGTGGGGGCACTCCCCCCACCATCCCATAGCTTGGCATCCCCCTCTCACCGGTTCTTGGGTCCAGGGTTACAGGTACCGGGAAAATAGTACCGGTATTACCACTTAAAAACTTCACGGCACTGATTCGTCTGGAGTCTACCGCTACTGCGCTGTACTGTACCGTACCCGTGTACAGGTGCTCTGTTGTACTCGGGCATGGAAAGAAATCGGGTGCACTCTCGGCGGCACCCGAAATACCCTTCCTGTACTGTATCGTACACTCGAGTATCATACAAAGGGTCACAGGTAAAATACTTATAACACAAGAGTGACACAGTTCTGCAGTGTAAAGTACATACCATAAGAACTTGAATGATTGAATGTCATAAAAAGGTGTTAATTTAGAGTATGTAATACAAAGGAATCGCCACCTAAATCAGTCAAAACGGCTTTCATTGTTTCTTGGCAGCAAATCCTGGTGAAAATTTAGTTCCTCCATGTCAACAACATCTTATACCTTCAAGCCTTCACTATCTACACTATTATCATCTAGTACTCCTATCCCACCTCCCTATTTCCCCATACTTTTAACACCTCCACAAGAAACCTGTTCTCTCATCCTTATATAGATAATTTATTATCCTAACTACAATCAATTGGTAGTAAGACACCTGTAGCCTAGAAGTCTAGTTGGATGACTTCTTCTCTTTACAGAGAAAATATCTTTTATACCTCACCAATAGCATTGGTAATAGCCACCTACTACTTACTAAGTGTACTTCTAGTCAATCTATCTTCAGTTGCTAATGTTATCTTCTCCTTCTTAATTTCTTTAAGTTACTAATATACTACTAATACCTAGCTTCCTATATTAAAATTCAATTCTCATATTAGAATAAGTTCTACATCCTGCTAGGGGAAAGTCTAAGCCCCAGGGGTCATCAGGAAAAATATTGCTTGTATCTGACACCTGAGCAGTGGGTCCTGACATGCGTGCACTTTCTTTCCCATCCTGTACATCCTGTACTTCATGGGATTGAGCTCGACACCCAGCTGCATCCTGGGCATCCAGATCCTGAATGCAATACCCTGCCCCATCCTGGGGGTCCAGATCGCTGACACAATATCCTGTCACATCCTAGGCGTCAAGATCTCCGCCAGAACTCCAGCCCTGATCCTGGGTACTAGGAGTCCTGTTGGCAAGCCCAAGGGCAACTGGTTGCACCAGCCCACCCCTCCGGCTATCCTGATAATGTCTTAAGCAATCTCCCAGTTTTGATCGCTATGCCGATGTTGTGTACTGCACGTACAGCACTATAGTCTCATGCCAGCATGTCTGGATCCTAATTCCTGGGTTCCCAATATCTGGACTCCCTCCTGCTCCCAGTCTTCCTGTCCCTCATCTCCTCCCAGATGCTGGTTCCAGTTGTATTCCCAACGCCATCTTGATGCCTTACTGGCAGGAAGGCAGAGTGGAGGATCCCATTGCCCGGCAGGCTTCCCAGCTTTTACTTTCTGAGTTAACCCTTTCCTTCTATAGTGTAGTCTTAATCTCTACTACTATTACCTTCAATTATGTCTCTCTGGCTTTTATTATTCTCTAGTTCCACTACCTGTCTATAGAAATAGACTGTTTTGGAGTCTGAGCTAGGACGACCTGCTGTCGTCATCGAAGTCTGGACTTCCCGTCATGTTACTCACCTACCATGCACAAGGACCTGGCATACAATTCAGATTATCCTGGTCCCTTGATCTCCTGCCCATGCGAGGTAGTGACTTGGATATCTCAGATTGGCTCCATCGGCAATCCTGAGTCTACGCAGCGCTTCACGAAGCAACTATTCTTGCACTACAACTCAATAAATCTCATTGAATGTCCTCAAGTAAATTCAACTATTGACAAGCTATCGCTGGTCAGACTCTGGGATCAGGTATGCCAGCCCTATGATTGTTCTGATGTCTACTATTGTAAAACTTCACGCATCTAGTCTTAGCTTTACAATGGCAAGCTCATGAAACTCAAATGGGTGCCCTACATTAAGGACGCTCAGTATCTGTACACCGGCTTGCCAGTACACCATCTCGGTGTGCCTGTAGTTGTGGATTTTGAAGAGCGCTATGATTTTCCTAGGGAGTGTCACGGCCACCAAATTGTCTTCACTCTAGTCACATGTTTCGTACCTGGAGGAGCCCTCCGCAGTTCTCAGGATTCGCGTTCTTGAAGGGATAGGTGTGGCAAGACGGATTTGGTTAACCATGTGCGGTCCCAGGAACTAGTGCATAGCAACTCTACATAGCAAAATATAGTAGCTACACATGGTTAGATACAGTGGAGGAATTTCGTTAGTGTTTGGAATGTACAGGAAGGATGTATGTTATAGATCAGAGGATTTTCTATGGTGTTATTATGTTTTGTGCTTGGAGGAGCGCTGTTAGATTGAGGGATTTCCTTGAGTATATCTATGGGGTGTGCCCCTTGATATTTTACTTTCTTTATGCAATCTGGTAATCTAATACCTGGATATATACTTAGGAATTACGTCCACTCCTTACTTTCATAATTGTCGTAAACTAAGATTCAGATTGTGTACAACTCCACATTAAGGACTACAAAAGAGAACGACATTGATATATCATTACTCTTGATTTTTTTATGCTCATCCTTTGCTAGTCTTAGCCTCACCGCTAGTAGCGAGCCTGCAGTATGGCTCACTATCTTTAATTAATAGACCTTTGACTTTCCTTAGTGTCCGCCCGTCCTCTTTTAACTCCCTGGACAATAGTTCGCCCGCCTGAATCCTTTTGCACCGATGGTATTCCTGCATGTCAGCCTGTCCTCCGTTAACAATCTCAACGATTGTTCTCCCACCTGAACCCCTTTGAGCCCATGGTCTTTCTTTGTGTCCGCCTGTCCACTGTTAAGGATCTCGAGGACAGTTCTCCCGCCTGAATCCCTTTGCGCCTGTGGCTTTCCTTTGTGTCCGCCCATCCATTGTTAACTATCTCGACAATAGTTCTCCTGCAAGAACTATTTTGCACCTGTAGCATTCCTTCATGTCTGCCTGTTCTCGGTTAACTATCTCCACAATTGTTCTCTTACCTGAACCCCTTGTGCCTGGGGCCTGCCTTTGTATCTGCCCATCCTCAGTTAACTGACTCGAGGATAGTTCTCCCGCCTGAACCGCTTTGCGCCTGTGGCCTTCCTTTGTGTCCACCTGTCTATGGTTAACTATCTCGATGAGAGTTCTTCAGCCTGAACTCCTTAGCGCCAGTGGCCTTCCTTTGTGTTGGCCTGTTCTTGGTTAGCTAACTGAATGATAGTTCTCCCACCTGAACCCGTTGGCACGCAGGGCTTTCCATTTGTGTTCGCCTGTCCTTGGTCAGCTACCTCGACGGTAGTTTCCCTCCTGAACATGGTAGACGTTAGCACATTAGGACCTCTGACCCTTATGAATCACTTAACAATATTGTATTCGGCAACAAAGTATAGGGCCTTCTCAATTTATCACCTACCCTCCTTGTACTATGCCTAGACCTCTGGTAGGATACCGGATGATTATCTTGGCTGGCTTGATGCTAGCACCTTACCTAGACCTGTGGTGGGATACCGGATGATTATTTTGGTTAGCTTGATGTCGGCACCTTGCCTAGACCTCTGGTGGGATGCCGGACGATTACCTTAGCCCGCTTGATGCCGGCACCTTGCCTAGACCTCTAGTGTAATGCCAGATAATTACCTTGGCAGGCTGAATGCCAGTAACCCTCGTTGAAACTCGCTCCTCGGCCGCATACCAATTACACGGATTACCCTTAGACAACAAGGCCTTTTGACCTAGACCACCAGTGGGAGACTGAATAATTGCCTTGGCTCGCGATGGATGCTCCTTAGGTGGACCTTAGTTGGTTATGCTCCTCGCAGGTGGACTCTGGCATGATGTCGGAAACCCTTCTGGAACCCCACTCCTCAGCCGCATGCACAGTAGGTGGAAAAACCTTCGATACTGGGGCCCCTTGATGCCTAGACCTCAGTGGTAGGATATCCGTCCTGAACTTTCAACCTTTAGTAGGATACTGAGTCTTCTCTAGTTGGACTAGATAACAGCAGCATAGACCTTGGAGATGGGACATCTATTCTGATTTATAGACCTTGAGTGGGATAGCGGACATATGTCTAGACCTCGGACTCGGAGGTGGGAACCTGTTCTGATGCTTAACCCTCTGAGGTCGGATACCTGTCTCTTGTTTAGACCTCCGATGAGATACCGGACACCTGTTTAGACTTCAGAGGTGGGAACCTGGCCTGATACTTAGACCTCTGAGGTGAGATACCTGCGCTTGCTTAGACTGCCGGTGGGATAACGGACATCTGTCTAGACCTCGGAGGTGGGAACCGGTC